TGTTTCACACAAGTTGTCTGAGCCCGGCAGATTCAAAAGTACGCATTTTTCTACAAGTTCCACTAGCTATAAGCCTTCAAACCTTTTAAATACTCTCTGTGGTTCCGAGTTTTGGAACTCTGCCCTGGATCTGCTTTCCCTGGTATTCTGTGGTATGGCTGACAGCGAACTTCACTGCACCTCTACCCTAACTGCCATCAAGCCCCTTCCTTGGTTTTTTATTTTATTGTTATTATTTTTTCCCTATCATCCAAGTTAACACATTATCTACCCTTGGAACCAAATTGACATAATGTCCTCCAGGTTCATTCATGGTATAATGTATTTCACAGATTCATTGTTATTCTTCAGTGTTGCGTAGTATTCCACTGTGTGTATGTACCAAAGTTTGTTTAGTCCTCTGTTGATGGCCACTTAGGCTGTCTCCATCTTTCTGCTATTGTGAAGAGTGCTGCGATGAACATGGGCATACATGTATCTATTCATGTCACTGCTCTTATTCCTTGAGGATGTATTCCAAGTAGAGCATCCTGTGGTTTTCCAATAGCAATTATAATAATATGCCTAATCCTTACACTGGTTTACAAAGCCCTTTGGGTCCGGCCCTAGCGGCCTCTCTGACGTCTGTTCCTGTCACTCTTGGCCTCACCCATAGTACTCCAGATCTCCTGACCCTCTTTCTTTGGAGCATGCCAGCCCATCAACCCAAGGACCTCTCCCTACCAGGACTGGGTATGTCTCATCTTCTCATGGCTGGCTCCTTCTTACGTTTTGAACAAGATGTTCTGATAAATGTTAATCTTACAGAGGTCTTACCTGACACCCATGTAACCCCACTTATCACATAACCCTTTTCAAAGGCTATTTAAATCTTCTAGATGTTTTTAAGTACCATTGAGTTGGTTCCAACCCATAGCAACACTGTATAGGGTTTCCAAGGAACAACTGGTGAGCTTGAACCACTGACCTTGTGGTTTAGACTGACATTGCAGGCCAGAGCATTAACCCACAGTGCCACATCTAGACGCAAGGTTTCTGGATAGTTCTAAGGCCAGTCCCTGAGCTTATCTCTGCTACTGAATATTAAGGTTCCTGAGAGGAGTGGCCTCATCTACTTTTCACCTTTGGTATCGCTAAGGTTACAAGACAGGTGCTCAGTACATATCGCCCAGACTCCATTCTCAGCCATTTTTCATATGCGTGTAAAGTCCAGCTTTCTCTCCAGTTGGGAACTAAGTGAGTGTTTGTACTCATTCTGTTTTTACAGCAGTCTGGGCTATATGAGTATAAAGTCTTTGGTGTCCTGGAGGATTGTCCACCAGCTCTACTTGCAGATATCTATATGGACTTAGACTACCGAAAAAAGTGGGACCAGTATGTTAAAGGTAAGTGACTGAAGCTGTGTGCCAGTGAGTCAATTCTAAGTGATAGTGAGTGACACTGTGTGATCCAGCAGAAACATCCCAGATGCTTCCCTCGGCCATAATCTTTACACGAGCAGATCACCAGCTCTTTTCTCCCATGAAGCCACTAGTGCGTTTGAACTGAAAACCATTTGGCTTAGCCATTGCATCACTAGGCTCCTTCAAGCTCAGTGATACCAACCTTTCTTTTTTTTCTAATCAGCTGAAAGTAGAATCCTTTCTTATTTATTCAAACGATTGTTACTGCTATGCTTTTATTCTCCCTTGCCTTCTGCCTTTGGAGCAGGTGTTTTTTGGGCTGGAGTTTCCTGACCCTTCTTAGATTTGGGAGGCCCACACTCCTGGCCTGTGGGTTTCTCTTTCTGGGCAGGTTTTCCTTCTTGCTTGCGGCAGTCACCTTCTCTCCTGGAACCTTTGCTATAGTTGTTGCTGCAGGTGTGGCAGTTGTTTTCTTGGGAGAAGCTTTCAGAAGAGCCTCCCTTTGAGGCTTTTCAACTTCATACTGTGTCTGTTCCTCATTTCCTTTGCCTTCCTGAGTTTAAAGCAATCAAAATCTGTCAGCTTTTTGGCTCTGGCTTCATACCTTCTTGGCCTACCTTGTGGTTGCTTATTTCATGTTGATATCTGCATTCTTCTGGCGGGTGCTGTGGGACCCTGAGGGTGAAATCGGTGAGTTGCATGTATTTGATAGATCTGGCCTGCCTCCATACTTGAGTGTTGCAAAGTCCATCAACAACAGTCTGATTCGATCAATAACATCGACAACCACAACCAGTTTCCCAGCGTGAGCCCCCTGGCCCACCTCCACGAAGCTCCTGAACACCAAGAAGGGCAAGGGAGCAGATGTAATACCTATTTTTATATTTGTTTCATTTTAAATTTATGCCATAAAAGTTTAAATCCTGAGCTGAAATGTACCATCACTGTTGCTTGGACTTGCTGCCTGCAGATATTCAGATCTGCTGTCTAGTTTGCTTTGAGAGGGACTTTACTCTCACGATTGTTATCCCATCTACTCAGGTGGTCATGGAAGGCATCTTGGAGGAGGTGGTATCTAAACTTGGTTTTGAACATCAAGGCAGAGTTTTCTAAATGGACAAAAATACATCTGTGTAAGGGCATGAGAGGGTGTGGGGGGGAGTAAGTGGTTTAAGGGCATTCCCAGCCAAGGGAGCAGTGTGAGTAAGTCAGCAAAGAATGAAATAGCATGCTGTGTTCAAAAAGGGTGAGAACTTGGGGCTGTGTGGTTGGTTAGAGTAGTGGACTTCAGAACTAGGACAAGAGGAGGGTTCAGATCCTGGAGGGTCTGATATGGCTTCTAGACTATGGGTTCCAGATTTTACCCGGTAAGTGATGGGAAGTTATGAAGGCATGAAATAGGGGGTCCTTCTGCAGCTGGGAGCTGAGACTGGGAAGAATGAAGAAGCTAACAAAGGGGCATGTAGCTTCTGAAAGGAAGACTCTTGCTTTCGTCGAGACTCTTGGTTGTTGCGAGTAAGAAAAAGCTAAGTGTGGAGCTTAAGAGAATAAAAGGAGTGTCCATGGGTTTCTGACTTCCTGGGCAGCTGCATCTGGAATTTAAATAATCTCACAGAGAACATCTTTCTTTTTCTACTCTTGAATCTGGTTTCTTCTATGTTGACTTAGTTCTCTAACAACAACGCTTGAACCCCATGATCCAGACTTACTGTCTACCATTGAAGTAACCCCAGGGAATGGAGAATTCTACTTTCCCCTGGTTTTGGTTGTTATCTGGTTTAGCTGCCATGATTCATGGCAATGGACCTGAATGCTGCCCAGACCTGTGCCTGCCCCAGGATTGTTTTCAGATCAGACTTTTGTGTTCCATCAGCTTTTCACTGGTTACTTTTCATAAGAAGATCGCCTGGCCTCTCGTCCCAGTTTGTCTTAGTCTGGAAGCTGCGCTGAAACTTGTTCAGCATTGTAGCAGCGTGTTAGCCTCCACTGACAGGAGGATGGCGGGCTACACATGAGGGCCACTGGCCAGGAATCGAACCACAGTCTTCCACATGGAAGGTGTGAATTCTAGGGCTGAACCATCACTGCCTCTTTGGGTTCTTAGTGTTTTTCCAAATACTCTTCCTGTTTATGGGGGATTGTGAGGCTTATCCGTACAGAGGAGAAGCCAAATCCTTGTTCTTTCAGGCTCTTCAGCAACCATGGTGCATCATGTGATACAGATTCCGTCAAGAAGAAGCACGTGTGTCTTCAGTTTAGAAAAGAGTGCTGTGAAGAAGCAGGCAGCATGCTTTACAGTCATGGCTTGGGCATCTGAGTTTGGAGGAAACAAGTGTTGAGCCTTTAGCGCTTGATACTTTTCGTCATGGGGTCTGGGCCGTGGGGCAGCATCACTTTGTCCTCTCTGGGATCCTGTGGCCCTCGTGGGTGTTCTGTGAGCTGCATCACTTTTCAGCAGTCACTTGCCAGGAGGACAAGCTGAGACCCTGGTGACATGCCATCCCTGGCCGCCTGGCTCAGTTTCCCAGCCCTGCAATCAGGACAGTCAGTCGACTTGAAGCATATAGCCAAGAAGTAGCGAAGGGGGATTGAAGGAACTTGAGATGCCGGCACTAGAAAGGGGGATTCAATTCTGAGTTATCATTGTTGTTGTTAAGTGCTGTCGAGTTGGTTCCGACTCACAGTGACCCTGAATATGGTGAGTTTGAACCACCAACCTTGTGGTTCAAACCGACCTTGCAGTCTAGTGCATTAGCCTGTGGTGCCACACCAGGACTCCCAATTCTGAGTAGCACGTGCTGCAGACACTCGCTCCTTTCCTTTTCTTCAAGCGCTGTGTTCAGCCTTTTGGGGCCCTAGTGGGCTGGCAAACTCTTTTAATCTATGGTTTGCTTCTAATGGATTTTCTTTCAAATGCTAAGTTAAATAATTTCTTTTTCCTCTCAGCATCTCCTCAGGGAGCTCCCTTGGTTACTTCAGCAGCTTGGACATGACTCTCTCTAAATGGTGAGATACAAGCGTACTCTCGGCTTGAGGCAAAGCCTGAGGTGGAGTGTATGCCACCCATTAACTTCCTTTGCTATCTCTCCCTGGTGGTGTAATGGATAAGTGCTCAGCTGTTAACCCAAAGGTCAGCGGTTCAAACCCACTAGCTCCTCTGATGGAGAAAGATGTGACTGTCTGCTTTTGTAAAGCTTTATAGCCCTGTAACCCTATGGGGCAGTTCTCTTCTGTCTTACAAAAGAGTTGGAATTGACTCTCCTCGATGGTAGTGGCTTTGGTTTCTTTGATGTCTCCCAGAAAGTTTGCTGTTTTCTACACATAACTCACTAGCCGCCCCTTGGAAACCGTTTACATGGTCGCTGTGAGTCAGAACTGACTTGATGGCACCTGAAAACAGCATGGAGAATTAAGAAAATGTAGACCCTCATTGAGGATCAGGGGTCCTTGGGTGGTGCAAGCACTTGGCTACTAAGGAAAGTTGATAGTTCGAATCCACACAGGGCTATCTTGAAGAAAAGCCTGGTAATCTTCTGAACTATCACAACCGTGAAAACTTCAGAGTACAGTTCGATTCTGCTATGCAAGGGCCCGAATCTGCTGACAGCAACTGGTAGCTGAGGAACAGCGTGAAGCAAGAAACTTGGGTTTAGTCACAGGTCTGCCACTGGCTAGCCTTTAGGAAGCTCACCGCGCCTCAGGAACCTGCCACTCAGATGTAAAGGGGCTGGACTGGTGACCCACCGTGGTCCCAGGCTAGGTGTAACCAATGTGTCAAAGCTGAAGGAGAAGAAAGGGCTTGGAAGCAAAGCTCTTGATACTCTGGTGACATCTGGTGGTAACCTTGATTTTAAAACTTCTGACAATTATTATTTGATGCCTTATGTTCTGAGAATCTTGTTTGTAATATAAGATGGGCAAATGTTGTTGGTGTGTTTCTCTCCCCACCCCCACCCCCATGTTTTTCTGTCCATTTGACCCTGGTCCTGATCAACAAGCTTTCAAGAAGGTAACAAATTGACCCACCTTTTTCTAGAATTTTAGGTTCATCATAAGTAAGCTGTTCGTTAAGTGAAGCCAAAGAGCTTCCCAGTGCATTAACACTTTCCTTCTCCTTTAGAACTCTATGAAAAAGAATGCGATGGTGAGACCGTGGTCTACTGGGAAGTGAAGTACCCTTTCCCCATGTCCAACAGAGATGTATCCTTTCTCAATAGGCACGCCATTCCTTGATTTCTGAGGGTTCCTGTATACCTTGGCCACTGTTGGATATAGGGTGGCTGTGGCTGTGGCCGTGTGCTGTGGAGTCAGTTCTGACTCACAGCGACCCTGCACAGGGTTTCCGAGGCTGTAAATCTTTACAGGGGCAGAACACCTCATCTTTCTCCCGTGGAACAGCTGGTAGTTTCGAACTGCTGACCTTGTGGTTAGTAGCCCGATTTGTAACCACTACGCTACCAGAGCTCCTTGGATGCAGGGTGGTAGAGCTAATTTTCTATCAGGTGCAGACAACGTTGTCTTTGATCTGCTAGAGCTGCTGCTTCTTAGAACGTGGCCTTTGGTCCTCGGAGTATGATTCCTGGGTCTGACCACATGGAGTATCTGTGATTGCGGTCACTGGGCTTGACATTGCTGAGCCACAGAACTTGGGACCTGGGAGAGTGTTTAGTATAGCTCCCTCAGTCAAGGACGTGGGAACCAGGGAGGTGAAATAATAATGGTATATAGGGCTGTGTGAGTTGGAGTTAACTCATTAACAGTGGGGTTGGGTTTGGGAAAGTGGTTGGTGGCAGAGCAGGGATCGGAACTGAGCCCCGTCCACATCCAGCTCTCTCCACCTCCCAGCCCATCTTAGCTGATCCCATCTGAACTGTTGCCTCTGGACACTGGAGTGTTTGGTGAAGCCTCGGGAAACGTGAGCGAGTTACAGGACCCGGTGGGTCAAGACTTGCGGCAAAGTAGTACATGTAGGAGGTTTGACAGCAGATAGCCAGCACTGATGGAGCCACATCTCTTCCCTGACTCGCTTAAGAACTCGATCCATAAACACAGTGGACAGTGGGGACAGTAGACAGTCCAGTGTCCATACAGCCCTGCAAGTACCGGAGTGAGGGCTGGGCCTCCCTCTCTCTAATATAGCATATGTTATACTTCTGCTTATAATAAGAAGTGCAGTTGTCTCACCTTTAATGTGACCTCTGTGGGGTTCTAGCCTTTTAATTTCTTCTAATGTGCTGCCCCAAATTCTAATATTTCAAAGTGTAACGAACACTTTAAGGACACCTAGTGGTGCAACAACAGGGCAGCTTGGCTGTTCACCAAAAGTGTGGCCCTTTGAATCTAACCAGGGATACTGTGGGAGAAAGATCTGGCGATCTGCTTCCCTCATGATGAAAGCCTAGGACACCCGATAGGGCAGCTCTGCTGTGAGGTGGGGTGAACACCTTAGAGCCGAGGCTTGTACAGCCGTGAAATTCCAGCCAGGTTTTAGAACCAGGTCTGCCTTCACTCTCAGGCTCCATAACTAGAATTGGGCTGGGAGAATGGACACAGGTTTCCCCAATCTTTTTGAGCCTCAGTTTTGCCCTCTGTAAGATGGGACTCTGATACTGACCCCACAAGGTGTAAGGAGCAAAATTGATGCTGTAGGTAGAACACGTCCTGTGCATTACAGTCAGGGCTGAATAAGTGGTCATACTGTCTCTTAGGATTTAATTTATGTTCCTGAGCCAGAGCAGTTGCTTTGCAAATGTTGATCAAGATGAAGTGTCTTTGTTATTCCTGGTGACCCAGTGTTAGCACAGAGAGGAGATCTGTCTGCTAAATATTAGAAGTATCCATCTACCCTCCTGGGACATGGGAGTGGCTGTCTCTTAGACCTAGAGGTGAGTGATTCAAGCTTTGGGATGAGGACAGGACAAAGAAGACAGGCATCATGATCTCCAATGCCCCCAAGAAGCCGGCAGGGCAAATAGTGCTCCTCCCTTGTCCTTCACAGGGAAACTGAGCCTCACAAATGTCCCTGACACATGTCTGATTGGAGAAAAAAGCTCTGGTTTCACTGCATAGTTGAAAGTAGCCAGAAAGCGCTCGCAGGTAGGTAACCATGCACTCAAATGATAACTCTAGGTGGTAGGAGGCACCATCTTGCAGTGTAAGTAGGGACACGGGGCAGATACTTGGAGTTCTGGTTCCAAGGACAAACAGCCAGGTGGGAGGCCAGAATCTTCCTGGTGCCTCAAGTTGACAGTGTTTTCTCTGTACGTCTGCAATGTCACGCCTTGACTGATAGTGCAGTATGTCTATGTGCGGCAGCGGCGAGAGCTGGAGTTGGAAGGGCAGAAGGTCTATGTGATCCTGGCCCAGAGCACCTCCGTGCCTCAGTTAGCTGAGAAATCTGGCGTGATCCGGGTGAAGCGCTACAAACAGAGTCTGGCCATTGAGAGTGATGGCAAGAAGGGGAGCAAAGGTAAAACCCGGAGTGCTTCTTGGGACCACCCACACAGGGACTGTGAGGAGGGGGAGGGTGTGAAATGGGAGACCCCTGGAGGTCAGAGAATGAATGCCATGGGGCACTAGACCAGGGACAGAGTTTCCTCCCAGGAGCATGGCCAGAGCCCCAGGTGGGTGTTGAAGTCTGGCTCAGACAATTCCTTACACACTTGCATTGTCCAGGTGAAATCAGACTTTCACAAGCAAACCAGAGGATTTAGAAATTCACTTCACGCTCGTCCTGGGGCTAGCCTCGGCTGGCTCCCATTCAGCACGGCTGCCAGACTCGGGACCTGCCTACCTGTGGCCCAGCCCCATGGGCCCTGGGCTACACCTGCTACACTGGCCTGAGGGCTTAGGTAAAATCTGTCACCTTGGCGAATGTACGTAACTTTTCTGAGTCTCTGTTTTGTCGTTGATAAAATGGGATTAATTTTACCAACTTCTTATGGTTGTTATGAAAACGATAAATGAGACTCTATCCAAGCATTTAGTTGTTGTTAAGTGTCATCAAGTTGGCCCAGACTTTTGGCAACCCTGTATAGGGTTTCCAAGGAGTGGCTGGTGAGTTTGAGCCACCGACCTTGCAGTTCAAACTGGCCTTATGGTTGAGTGTGACTACAAAGTCACACCAGTACTCCAAGCGTCTAGTGGCAGGTGTTTAAAAAACAGCAGCCTAGTATGGCTGTGCATTCAGAAATACTTGCCTGTAAATATGCTGTAAGATGAGCTGGAGGAGAAAAGTGTACCTGAATTAAGTTCTAACTCATGCGATGTTTTCTGGGTCTGAATATGCAGTTACGTAGTCGGTTGGTTGCTACAGTTTTCAAACAGTTTCTCCCCTTCTGAATTGTCCTTTCTTTTCCCCTCTAGTCTTCATGTATTACTTTGATAACCCGGGTGGCCAGATTCCGTCATGGCTCATTAACTGGGCCGCCAAGGTGAGATCCCAGGAGGCAGGTGGGGGCAGAGTGGCTTTGACAACTGTTGACTTAATCCCTGGCTGTCAGGCTGAAGAGATACTTTGTCTCTGGTGGAATGAGGCTCTTTTATGAAGCAGCTTGGTTTGAGTGACTGGGGTTGGAATTGGATTTGCCAACACCCAGGACTGAGGCTGGGACAAGAGACAGAGACTCCTTAGCTCAGAATGCCAGCCCCTCCCTTCTAGTGCACCGAGACCCCTCCGGAACCCCTCTCTGGAACCTCTGGACAATACATTTGCTCTTCATACAACAGTAATGCATTTTGGCCCTGTGCCTACTTATGGAGGAGACAGACTGCGTCCAAACCTGGGGGAGGACTCTAGGTTTTGCTGTCCTTTCCAGTAAGGGAGGGAACCGACATTAGAGCCTGAATCACCAGGGGTCTGGCATCCTGGGCTCACTTAGGTCCCTGGCGGTACAAATAGTTTGCACTTGTCTGCCAACATTGATATTGGCAGTTTAAACCCACCCGGCAACACTGAAGAAGAAAGACCTGGCGATCTGCTCCTGTAAAGATGGCAGCTGAGCCCAGACGTCTGTGGAGCAACGCTAGTGTGTCACCACGGAGTCAGCAGGAGTCACAGTCAGCTCGACGGCAACTAGTTTGTGTGCATTTTGTTCTTGTTTTTGTAAGTCCCTGGTAGTGCAAATGATTAACGAGCTCCAATGTTGAAAGATGGGAGCTAACTGGGTCTGGTGATCAAGTCCTCAAAAACCAACCACTGAAAACCCTAAGGTTCTGTGGACACACGTGCGGTCACCATGAGTGGTAACCAACTCCACAACAACTGGTCCGACCACAGGACCTACCTGTTGGCATGTTGGTACAGCAGATCCCTCAGGGGAGTGAAACGGATGTGAGTTTGAAACTCGACTGTGCTTCTAGCTGCCTGCAGTCAAGTCAAGCCACTTAATTTCTTCTTCTCTAAACATGAATATTACCAACTCCGTACAGCGGTGGCGGTGGCGGTGGTGGTGGTGGTGGGGGTGTGCTGCCTAGGGATTCTGAGGTTGTAAACCTTTATGGGAGCAGAAAGCCTCATCTTTCTCCTGAGGAACAGCTGGTAGTTTCAAACTGCTGACCTTGAGGTTAGCAGCCTGGCTCGTAACCACTACTCTAGCAGAGCTAGGAGTATTTAAAAGAAGATAGTGCTTGGGACAGAATTGCACAGTATCCAACACTAATACGTAATCCATAATAATATATCCTAACCCTCTCCTCCCAAATCCTTACCATTTTCTAAAGTCGGTGCAGCAAGTCCTCGCGTTTACATTCTTAGAAGAACCTTACAACCCAGCTCAAGGCCATTTCCTGTGTTTGCTTTTTCTTTTCAAGATATGTTGTCTCAAAACAGTCAGCTTTTTACTGCTAAAGACAAAATATGAAATGCTTGGCCCTGCCATCTGGTTTCACCTACGTCCCGTGTCTTACTTATTGTCACTTATTATCCCTGGTGACATTCTGTTGGAATGCAGTTGGGTGCCCTCTGGACTTCTTATTCCCAGAGCCATCTTTGTCACCACCCCCCGCCATGCCCTAAGGAGTCACGAGGGAGGGGCTGTGAGGACATACCACTGACAGAGTCTCTTTTCCTTTGCAGAATGGAGTCCCTAACTTCCTGAAGGACATGGCCAAAGCCTGTCACAACTACCTCAAGAAAACCTAAGGAAAGGCCTGGGCCTCAGTGTCTGTGGACGGATGTCTCTGGAAGTACCATGACCCACTGATGTCTAGCTCTCCCTTTGTCTTCAGAGCCGGCCTGCTCCACAGCATGTCCCCTCTGACTGTGTGTGATCCAGGGCGGCCGCCTGGCTTGCCCTTGGGCTTCCTTCCCCGCTTGCCCCACCCCAGGACCATTATTGAATATGGGTAGGATTAGGGAAACCTGTGCTTGTTTATTTTTAAAAAAGGGAAGTCTTCAATAGGGAACACAATCATTCCATTGTACCATTTTGAGGGGATGGATGGGTGGGGGATGAATACAAATGCCAAGAATGACCACTCGGGGCAAGCTGGCTCCTTGCCAGAATGTGATTTCTTACTGATGGAAGCTGCATCCAGTCAGAGCTGCTCTCCGTGCCCTGGGGCTGAAGGACTCACCTTTGCCTACTGCTCTGTTGGCTAGGTCAGGCTGGGTTCCGATTTGTCCCTATTAAGGTGTCAAACAACGTTGAAGAACATTTCAGGCCTGGCTGGGCACGTAGTGGGATGACCACTTTTCCTTATCATCCATGTCCCGGTTTCTGCCTTTCCAGTATGCCACTTGGTAAAGTCTGCCCCTGCTCTCTAGCTCTGCACCTGGCAGCTAGCAAAAGGTGCTTTGTGCCTTACATCGTGATACAGTGCCTTTGTATGCACTGAAAGGAATTTCCCTTCCGAGTGTTTGGTCATGTTGAAGGGATAATAATTCACCATTAGGGAGACTTGTTTTAATGACTTGGTTAACTCTGTACCTTTTTCTTAGGAAATCTACCTAAGTTGCCTACCTCTGACACCACCCTAAGGACTTTCTGTTGCCTCTTATTTTCTCCTGACTTTTGATAGGGATAGAGATTCTGTGGCCAAAGGCATAGCCTGGTGATCTCAGGGAGAAAAATCTAACCAGTGTGTGAAGGTACCAAATCTCAGTGCATGGACATAGAAGCTCAGGACATAAAGCCACAAGGAGGGAGCTTATTATATTGCAATACCTCCAACTGTATGATTTCTCTCTAGGAAGGAAAGTGGATTCTGTAAAGAAGAAATACAGACAACTTACACTTGGCATTTTGCCACTTCCTCCAAGTTCTTTTTGTTAAACTGTTCAGTGTAAGATCTCTTTTGTTTGCACGATATCCATCCTAACTCAAGAGAATGTAAGCATTATTTTTGTACACACATCCATGGAAGGCCAGTATAGTGGGGCCTCAGGTAGGGGTTGATATAAGTGCTCAAACCATGTTATAAGATTTAACTCTGTTCTGAAAGTTATCCTTGATATTGGTCTGCATTTGGTGGCTGGATGGCTGCTGATTACAGTAGTTCAGCCTATATCTTCCCAGGCTCATGCCAAGTAAAAACAACAGTCTGCTTGCCTTGTAGGTCCTGTACCACTCCCCTGTGATTTTGTGTAAACTGTATGTCTGTCCTGCCTCAGACATGGCCGTTGTCATAGATAGAAATGCGCAACTAAGTAAATTCCTCATACATAGGTAATTTTCAGTAACGTAGCTGGAATTTAATTTTAGATTAAAATTAAATGCCTCCTGTTCTAGAAGTCAACTAGAAATGTTAGGTACAGACTCTTTTTGTGGGGTGGGGGTGGATGTGGAGGGACATTAGCACCGAGAGAGTACAGTCTACAAACTCCTCCTGAGCCAATAGTAGCTGCCCGAGGTACAAACCTGTGGAACTAAATGTCTAGGGCAGCACCTGGTTCTTCAGGTGTGTCTTCCTTCGTGGATTGATGTTATTATCTGGAATTTAAAGTAAACATGTGTCATACTGCTAGCATTTTGTTTTACTTATTTTTGCTATGTCTGTCTTTCTCAAAGGACCCTTGGTGGAGCTGTGGTTAAAGAGCTTGATTGCTAACTGAAAAGTTGGCAGTTCGAACCTACTAGCTGCTCTGCAGCAGAAAGACGCAGCAGTCTATAGACTTGGAAACCCTTTGAACCAGTTCTGTTCTACTATAGGACCAAGCTCAATGCCTGTGGGTTTGATTTTGTGTACACATGTTTCTTAATTATAAGCTTTTTGTGATTTGCGATCATTTCTTTTCCTTGGTTACTGCTAAAGTAAGCACGGGACTGCTAGCTTCAATGGTGTCAATTTGAGCCCACTTGGAAGCGTCTTGGAGGACAGCTTTAGTGATCTGTTTCTGAAAGGTCCCCGCCCTGAAACCCTGTGTTGTTGTTAGATGCAGTGACCCTGTGCACAATAGAGTGAAGCACTGCGTGGTCCTGTGTCATCCTCACAGATGTCACGCTTGAACCCATGATTGTCGCCACGGTGCCATTCCATCTTGTTTTGGAGCTTTCTCTTTTTTGCTGACTCTCCTCTTTTCCAAGCATGGTGTTCTTCTTCAGAGATTGGTTCTTTCTGACAGCATGACCAAAGAATCCGAGACGAAGTCTTGGCATCTATGCTTCTAAGAAGCTATCTGGCTATCCTTCTAAGACAGATTTGTTTGTTCTTCTGGCATTTCACGGTATGGTGAATTTTCTTTGCCAACACCACAATTCCCATGCATTAATTCTTCTACGTCCTTCCTTATCCATTTTCCAGCTTTCACATGCAGATGAAGCAATTGAAACTATCATATTTTGGGTCAAGTGTACTTTAATCCTCAAAGGGACACATCTTTGCTCTTGAACACTTTAAAGAGGGCTCTTGCAGCAGATTTGTCCAATATGACTAGTTCTACTCTGCACACATGAGGTCCCCAGGAGTCAGAATCAACTCCAACAAGGGCAATGCATAGTGGACATCGCAGATGTTGGCTAAAGGAGTCAGTGATCTAGAGAGAATTGGCTGACTGACCCTAATCTAGAAGATTAAACCATTCCAGATATGGAGACTCATTCCCCAACAATTCAGGCCACATTATTCCCATCAAGGCATGTTTTTGGGGTTCTAGATTCCCCAGGTCCCCATTGGCTTTTTCTGCAAAGTCCCAAGTTCCTATCTAGTGAAGGCTGTATTTTTTGGCGTGGCTGCAGGTTATATTTAATGTCACAGAAACGCTGCCTTCTGAACTGGGTCTAGTTGAGCAATGAGCTAGGATTTCAGTTGAAATTTAATGCCACATTTTTTTCCCACAGGAGAGTTAGTCACACTGCTTAACAATTTAAAGTTAGTGGCCACCTTGGCACTGAGAAGTTACAGCAGAAGGTCACTTCCCTTGAAAATGTTCCTATTTCATGTGCATTCTGGCATGACTCCCTGACTGAGATTCCTCGCCCGAGTCCCTGTCTGTAATGCCTGCCCTTCCAACATCCTGCTTCCCAGCTGGATTGGGAAGAGACAAAGCAGGAAGCGCCCATTTGGTTCTCACGTTTCTGGTAGCACCACCCAGTTGGCTCAGGGAATTACCTTTAAAAGCATTGAGGTACCTGGAGTCCATCCGTGAAAGGTGCTAGACACAGTGGTTCTTGGGATGCCCGAGATAGCCTTGGTCTCTGCCCTCCAGGAGCTTACAGTCCAGTGAAGAAGACAGTGGACATCCTGTTGGAACGGTGATGAGTGGGAAGAAAGTGAAATAAAGGGAACTTGAACTTTTACATCCGGGGCATTAGCCAAGTTGGAGGATCAAGAGAACAAACCAACAATATAGGAAGGTGTCATAAAAGTTACTCATATTGCTAATTGCTTGTATGTTTAAAGAGTGGCTTCTGAGGTGGTCTGTTAGGCCTGTGAAATTCAAGGCAGAGAGGTTAGTTCAGAAGGCTATGGCAACTGTTTTTTGGGATTCCAAAGGGATAATCTTGGTAGATTTCCTCAATGACACAGGATGACCACAGGGGCTTATTAAGAAGAAGTTTTAAGAACACTGAACACTGCATTGGTGAGGAAAAGGCCAGTGAATGTTATTCTATAACAACAGTGTGCCTGCTCAGTCTCTGAGGGTATCAAGTGCTGGCCTATGAAAATTTTATTGGGAAACCTTACTCCATCCACTCTACAGCCATGATAGTGTCCCATTCACACTTGTTTTTGTTCCCCAAACACAAAGGACATTGAAAAGAAACACAATTTGTGTCCCTTGAGGATGCCAAAGCTGCCATTTTGATGAGGTGCAAACTGAAGATTGCAGAGGGGTTGTTGTTGTTGTTATGTGCCATGGAGTCGGTTCTGACTCATAGCGACCCTGTACAGGGTTTCTGAGGCTGTAAATCTTTATGGGAGCAGAAAGCCTCATCTTTCTCCTGCGGAACAGCTGGTAGTTTCGAACTGCTGACCTTGCAGCTCACAGCCCGATTCGTAACCACTGCACTACTAGCAGAAGGGTTAGAGGGTTGGAAACACTACCTTTAGACATTGTTCACCTAGATGGAGCATGTGTCCAGAAACAACAGCTTCACATTTAGATATTTTTAAAGAACTGTTTCTAGGATGGTTTTGTAGCAATACTTTTTGACTTGCTCTTGTACATAATAAGTACTCTGAGAAGTTCTTGGATTGCACAAACAGTTAAGCATTCAACTTCTAACTAAGTTGGTAGTTCAAATCCACCCTGAGGCACCTTGAAAGAAAGGCTCCACTAAAGGAAAGAATAACATGGCACTAGCAGATTGTGGCAGAGGGCTAGTCATGGCTCAGGATCTTTGCTCTCCAGCTTTCTGAGTAGTTGAGTTTCAGTGGAATGCCTGGCCTCCCAGATCCTCTTGTATGCAGTGTGGTCATGCAAGTAAATTCTGGCCAATGTCATATAAGCATAGAAATACGTGTCATTTCCAGTTCAGGATCATCAAAGAGAATGATAGGGACTCACCTGGCCCATTTTTTTGGCTGGCAAATCATAAGAATTGGATTCAAATACTTACTTGGATTTAAAGATGTAAGTCCTTAAACCTCTGGACTGTTACAGAGAAATAAAAGGGCTTTCTTATCTAAGCCATGACATTTGTCTGTCTAGCTACTTATTTTTAGCAGTTTATTCTGTAACTGGAGTCCTGGTGTGGTGCTGAGGGCTAATGCG